TACTAAACCAACTATTGGTTTGAAACCTAAAACAAACAAACTCTAACCGTAAGGTATTTCAAATTTTGCTTCGAATGATTTTACTCTCATCAAGAAACCTAAAAGCAGGTCTTTAATCCTTTTGACATTCCTGCACCCTTAGGTGTGGAATGTACTTTGAAGTCAACTTCTTACTTTCGAAGCTGTTTGTCACTTGATTTTGGCGTCAAAACTTGGCTTTGAAGCCAAACATTTTATTTCGAAGCTAATATTAGTATTTGAGATACGTTTCCCTCCATAACTATCAACATTGAGAGAAACTTTTCGCACCCGTACCTTTAGTACTTCTTTATGAATTCTGCGCACATAAAACGACAGGGTGTTTTTCAGACAGAAAGGTTTAAAAACCCTTTTATTTTGTGCTCCCAATTCACTTGGTCGCTTAACACACAAACCCTTCATCTTCTATTGGCTTTCTCTTTCCTTTTACTCTCTTTCCCAACTTTGTCTTCTGAAAAAACTCCTATCAATGGCTTCTTCTTCTTTGAAAATACCGGTTGTGGAGCGTGCGAGTCCATCCGTAGCCTTGAAAAGGATCATTGATGAAGAGTGTGAGAAATACAAGGCTGGTAAGAAAAGTGCCATCGACGGACGTATCTTCATTCCCCGTCGCCATGAGCAACAAGAATACGTGCTTGGGCCCATTTTTAAGGAGATTCCCACTGAGCTTTCAGCTCTGTATCTACGTTTGGAAGATCATTGCCCCCTTTATAAAGGTGGTCTTGATTGGGGAAGTTGGAGGATGAACTGACCCCATCGCTATTGGCCCATAGTAAGACCAGAATGGGAGAAATGGTATGATCAGGTCGTCCTTGATAGGACACTGGATCTTCAGGAGCTCTGCCTCCTTGACGCCCTTCAATTGTCCAAGTTCACCATTTCAGAGGATCCTTTTTTAATACCTGTTGCTCTTTGTTTTTGGAATTCTACTTTCAATTTCTTCTAATTCAGATGTGGGATGATGGCTCCTACTGTCCTTGACATCTGCCATCTGTTAGGATTATCCCCTACTGGTACCCCCATTGGTCCAAACTATCCTGACCTCAAAACCCCTTTTTCCCTCCCCTTTCTGAACTCATCCTATAGTGACTCTGTCAAGGCTGAGAACAAAAGAGAGGGCCTTGTGACTGATAGGGAATTTGTCTCTTTTATATTGTATTGGCTTTACAAATTCCTCTTTTGTACCTCTTCTCAGAGGATCATGCCTGAGTTTGCCCCTCTTGCCAAAGCCCTTGTTTTACAAAGAAAGATGGCCTTAGCTCCATACGTTCTAGGTCATGTTTATAGAGCTTGTTCCCTTTTTTTGTGAAAAACCCTTGGATGCTAATCAGGGAGGCCCATTTTGGATACTTCAACTTTGGCTTTTTGCATACTTCACCGATTTACAGTCTAAATGCCTAAGGTTTTTGGAGCCAAACACTACCACTAATGGTATGAAGTTAGCCAATGTTTCACTCTATCCTTCCAACTTTGCTTTTTTACTTTTCTTTCTTCCATCAACTTCCAGCTTCCCCTTTTTCTCACAGCCTCCGTCCCTTCGAAACTACCAATATTGGCCCATCTTGGTTGAGGACCTTTTTGAATGATAGGTCCTGTTCTACACCCCAGCACAAACACATGTGGGCCTCTATTATGATTCCCAGGAAACTATTCATTGGGACTATGAACCCCAGAGCTTACAAGTGCATCTCTGAGCCCTATTGTCCTGACCAATTTGCTAGGCAATTTGGACTCTCACAAGGGGTCCCTATTCCTCTCTGCAGTCAGTCCAATTTAAGCCTTACCAGCAGGGATTTGAAGATTCGAAGATCTAGATTGGAAGAAGCAACTTCCAAATTCATCCAAGATTTAATTGACTTTGAGTACCTACCCTTCATACTTTAAAGCAATATACTGAAAAAGTGCCAGAACTGGTGGATGGCCAATATGGAGGTGCACTTGGCCATTCCTCCTCAAGATCTATTAATGGTACTGGATGTACCTCAAGCCAAGCCCAAAGGGACTGGAGCTGTTATCTGCTCCACTAATCATGTTACTCCAGCTCTTGTGCCTGCCACTACAAAGTCTGTTCCTGCTGCCTCACCTCCTCCTAGAGTTACTCGAGTTGCCTCGAAGAAAAGTATATACTCCTGCTTTTTTTCTCTTCTCCTCATTTATGATGCTCTTGCCCTCACTTATGGTTCTTTCTTTGATATAGGTGGTGCGGGTGCCTCACAGGGAGATTCTTCCCAAAAGGTTCAAGCTTTAAATCTTCTCAAGAGCAAACAATAACAACAAAGGAAAAGAAAGCTCTTGCTTGACCCTTAGAAGGAGGTACCTGAGGTTCATGTAGAAGAAAAGGAAGCAGAAAAAGAAGAGACGGAAAAAGAGCAAGAGACACGCTTAAAAAGAAGGAAGAAAATGACTATCTCTCTTTCTGATTTCACTGGAAGAAATAGAGGATAGAATAAAGAAAGAATAGAAATTCATTGACCATAGCTGGACCAAATTTCATGATCTTGTTATTTATTCTATTCCTTACTTTTATGAGCTTGAATATGTAGCCAAGGAAGGTTTCTAATGTAATTGCCTTTGTCTTAATAAAGTTAAGATGTTTTCTCTTTATTTGGCATGGTCTGATTTTATTCCATTTGTCAAAAGCAAACAAAATTAGGGTTTCGAATTCACCAATTTTGTCTTTCAAAACTTGATTCGATCATACCCAATGAAATACTGGACCCCAATTTGAACTTTTCCAACATATGAAGTGTAATTGACAACCTTTGCCTTAGGTCTCCTTTCAGAATTAGAGCTTTGAATTCACCAATTTTGCCCTTCGAAACTTGATTCCCCAACATATGGTTAATACAATCAAGCAGTTTCAAATCAACTAATTTTGATTCGAACAAACAGTCTATATTTTCCAAAATATGGAAATCTCTTTTAAGGACTGCACTGTTTTATTCTAAAAAAGTGATTCCTTCTGTATACTACTAAACCAACTATTGGTTTGAAACCTAAAACAAACAACTCTAACCGTAAGGTATTTCAAATTTTGCTTCGAATGATTTTACTCTCATCAAGAAACCTAAAAGCAAGTCTTTAATCCTTTTGAAGTAAACAAATACCTGGGCATTCATGCACCCTTAGGTGTGGAATGTACTTTGAAGTCAACTTCTTACTTTCGAAGTTGTTTGTCACTTGATTTTTGCGCCAAAACTTGGCTTTGAAGCCAAACATTTTATTTCGAAGCTAATATTAGTGTTTGAGATACGTTTCCCTCCATAACTATCAACATTGAGAGAAACTTTTCGCACCCGTACCTTTAATACTTCTTTATGAATTCTGCCCACATAAAACGGCTGGGTGTTTTTCAGACAGAAAGGTTTAAAAACCCTTTTATTTTGTGCTCCCAATTCACTTGGTCGCTTAACACACAAACCCTTCATCTTCTATTGGCTTTCCCTTTCCCTTTCCGTCCCTTTACTCTCTTTCCCAACTTTGTCTTCTGAAAAAACTCCTATCAATGGCTTCTTCTTCCTTGAAAATACCGGTTGTGAAGCGTGCGAGTCCATCCGTAGCCTTGAAAAGAATCATTGATGAAGAGTGTGAGAAATACAATGCTGGTGAGAAAAGTGCCATCGACGGACGTATCTTCATTCCCCGTCGCCATGAGCAACAAGAATACGTGGTTGGGCCCATTTTTAAGGAGATTCCCACTGAGCTTTTAGCTCTATATCCATGTTTGGAAGATCATTGCCTCCTTTATAAAGGTGGTCTTGTGGGGAAGTTGGAGGATGAACCGACCCCATCGCTATTGGCCCACAATAAGACCAGAATGGGAGAAATGGTATGATCGGGTCGTCCTTGATAGGACACTGGATCTTCAGGAGCTTTGCCTCCTTGGCGCCCTTCAATTGTCCAAGTTCACCATTTCAGAGGATCCTTTTTTAATACCTGTTGCTCTTTGTTTTTGGAATTCTACTTTCAATTTCTTCTAATTCAGATGTGGGATGATGGCTCCTACTGTCCTTGACATCTGCCATCTGTTAGGATTATCCCCTACTGTTACCCCCCATTGGTCCAAACTATCCTGACCTCAAAACCCCTTTTTCCCTTCCCTTTCTAAACTCATCCTATAGTGACTCTGTCAAGGCTGAGAACAAAAGAGAGGGCCTTGTGACTGATAGGGAATTTTTCTCTTTTATATTGTATTGGCTTTACAAATTCCTCTTCTGTACCTCCTCTTAGAGGATCATGCCTAAGTTTGTCCTTCTTGCCAAAGCCCTTGTTTTACAAAGAAAGATGGCCTTAGCTCCATACGTTCTAGGTCATGTTTATAGAGCTTGTTCCCCTTTTTTGTGAAAAACCCTTGGATGCTAATCAGGGAGGCCCATTTTGGATACTTCAACTTTGGCTTTTTGCATACTTCATTGATTTACAGTCTAAATGCCTAAGGTTTTTGGAGCTAAACACTACCACTCATGGTATGAACTTAGCCAATGTTTTACTCTATCCTTCCAACTTTGCTTTTTTACTTTTCTTTCTTTCATCAACTTCCAGCTTCCCCTTTTTCTCACAGCTTCCGTCCCTTCGAAACTACCAATATTGGCCCATCTTGGTTGAGGACCTTTTTGAATGATAGGTCCTGTTCTACACCCCAGCACAAACACATGTGGGCCTCTATTATGATTCCCAGGAAACTATTCATTGGGACTATGAACCCCAGAGCTTACAAGTGCATCTCTGAGCCCTATTGTCCTGACCAATTTGCTAGGCAATTTGGACTCTCACAAGGGGTCCCTATTCCTCTCTGCAGTCAGTCCAATTTAAGCCTTACCAGTAGGGATTTGAAGATTCGAAGATCTAGATTGGAAGAAGCAACTTCCAAATTCATCCAAGATTTAATTGACTTTGAGTACTTACCCTTCATACTTTAAAGCAATATACTGAAAAAGTGCCAGAACTGGTGGATGGCCAATATGGAGGTGCACTTGGCCATTCCTCCTCAAGATCTATTAATGGTACTCGATGCATCTCAAGCCAAGCCCAAAAGGACTGGAGCTGTTATCTGCTCCACTACTCATGTTACTCCAGCTCTTGCGCCTGCCACTACAAAGTCTGTTCCTGCTGCCTCACCTCCTCCTAGAGTTACTCGAGCTGCCTCGAAGAAAAGTATATACTCCTGCTTTTTTTCTCTTCTCCTCATTTATGATGCTCTTGCCCTCACTTATAATTCTTTCTTTCGTGTAGGTGGTACGGGTGCCTCACAAGGAGATTCTCCCCAAAAGGTTCAAGCTTTAAATCTTCTCAAGAGCAAACAATAACAACAAAGGAAAAGAAAGCTCTTGCTTGACCCTTAGAAGGAGGTACCTGAGGTTCATGTAGAAGAAAAGGAAGCAGAAAAAGAAGAGACGGAAAAAGAGCAAGAGACACGCTTAAAAAGAAGGAAGAAAATGACTATCTCTCTTTCTGATTTCACTGGAGACCCTATTTACGAAGCATCTGCTAAAGCAGTAGAAGCAAAACATTCCAAAGAACTTATTGTATTTCAGAGGGCTGAGAAGAAGAGGCAAAAACAGATGCTTAGGGATGAAGCTGCTGCTGCTAATGAACTCCAAAGAGAAGTTGCATGAAAACAACAAACTGCTGAACATTATACCTTTCGCAGCTCTCCAACCATTACCACCACTTCTAAACCAATAATTTCCTTTCATGTCTCTATTTCCCTTTCTCAAATTCTTGATACTGATACTTAACATTACTTTGTATTTCTTCTTTTGCAGTAACAACTATTCTATTTTCTCCTTCAATAAGGACTCCTTCAATTTCATCTGAAGTTGAAAGACCTCGAAATATGGAGTCAATTCAAGCAATACTCTCACTCTTTGGTTCTACATTTTTCATACCTTTCTTGAGGCAAAGCATTTATGCATCCCTATCTTTCGGCTTAACTCCATACTTTCCTCTTTTATCCTTTAACTCTACCTAATTTATTCTCTCTTCAAGCCTCGCTGCTCCTTCATTTCCTAAGGAAATTCCAATTATTACTTCATCTCTAGTGATAGCTGATTCCCGTAAAGAAGACACTAGTAGCTCACCAGTTCCTTGTCCACTATCCCTATCTAGCTCCAGTCCTTGTTCTCTTGACTTACTGGTAGCTAAGACTATAGAAACTGTTAGGGATACTTCATCTTCCTCTCCTATCCCTATGCAGCCATCTCTTCCTCATATCAGAGCCCTTTCTGCACCAACCATGTCAACAGAAGAAGTGGACATTTTTGAAGCTAGACTAGCTAGCCTTTTTTACATGCCTCCCACCACTCCAACAGCTAGCAATGAAACTGAGTCATTAGTCCTAGCTAGTTCTCTCTTGAAAATTTTTGAGAGCTCTTCCTCCACTAGTAGGACTTCCTTGCCTTCATTAGACTTGGACAGCTGTTTGGAGTTGCTGACATTTTTCTCGAGGATCCCATTCGAAGCCTTGCAAAGGCCTATTATCAAGAATGGCTTCCTCTAGTGCTGCAAGGTTGTTGAGCAATCCAGCATGACTATTTCAAGTCATTTATCTCAGGCGACAGCTACCATTGACTTTTACATCAACATTTGCCATGTTGCCAAAGCTGCAGAAGAGAAATTGCTGAGAGACCAGAGATTTGTTTCCCAGATACATGCTGAAGTGTCGAAATTAAAAGAACAACATTCCCCTGTCTCCCAATTTCGAGCTCAACTATTGGAGAAGAAAGCTCAGCTTGAAAAAGAGTTATTAGCAGTCAACTTGGCTTTAGATCGAACTGCCACCAAGCTGCAGATTACTAACCAAGAACTGGCTGATCGAAAGCAGGAGATGGCTACAACCATTCAGTTGTTCCCATCTCTTAAGAGTAGAGAGTCAATTGTAAAGGAACAGCTGAAACATTGTACTGACTTTTGGGCCAATCTATGGCTGTATGTATTCAACTCATTATGAAATAAGATCCTTATTTATTATTTGAGTGTTTTCATGCTCCTTTTGTTTAGCACTTATTATATTCCTTGTGTTTCCCACACGGTTGGATAATAAGGCTTCAAATATCTGCCATTAATTTTCTTGCGGTGTACATATCCATTCAAATTTCTCAAATGATATGTTCCCCAAGGCAAAACTCTATGAACTTGATATGGTCCTTCCCAGTTAGGTGACCATTTGCCAAACTTGTGGCTTTTAATCCCTATTGGGTGTATTGTCTTCCATACCAAATCACCTTCATCAAAGCTAATGTGCTCGACTTTCTTATTATAGTTTTTGGCTGCTTTTTTCTTTTGGAAAAGAATGTTATTTAATGCCAGAATTCTAGCGTCATCCACGTTCTCTAATTCCAAGCACATACTCTAATGGTACTACTCAAGAACTAACTGATCTTGGCATCTCACCCTCAAGGACTTGATGTTAATTTCTACAGGTAGTACTGCATCATGCCCATATACTAAGGCATAAGAAGTGACTCCTGTACTTGATCTTGGATAAGTTCTATAAGCCTCTAGTACATCCAACAGTAAGTTACGCCAATCCCTAGGATTGTCTTCCATAACTTTCTATATTCCTTTCTTCAAAGATTTATTGGATGATTCTGTCTGACCATTGGCTTGTGCATAATAGGAGGTAGAATTAACAAGGCTAATTCCAAACTCTGCCACAAAAGACTTTACCATATTCCCATCAAATGCAGTCCCGTTATCAACAGTTATAGTTTGTGGGATGCCAAATCTGTGGATCAGATCTTTAATGAATCCAATAACTTTGGTCTGGTTTACAGCCTTATACAGTTTAGCTTCGACTCACTTCGTGAAGTAATCTGTGGCCACTAAGATGAAACAATGATGCTTCGAAGAGGGTGGATGTATTTTCCCTATCATATCCATAGTCCATCCTCTAAACAGTCAAGGCTTCACAACCGCATGTAGATCAGTTATGGGTACATGTCTTATTGTGCCATGCTTTTGGCATGCCTCGCAACGTCTAGCATATTCTATGCAATCTTTAAGGATGGTTGGCCAATAGTAAGAATGTCTTCAAAGCAGCCATCTCATCTTCACACCAGGCTGATGAGCACCACAGATGCCTTCATGAACCTCAGTCATGGCTGTCAATGCTTCCTTTGGGCCTAAACATTCCAATAATAATCCATTTGCCCCCATTTTGTAGAGAGCATTACCATACATTATGTATTACATAGATTGCAATTTGATTTTTCTGCTGGCTTTCGAAGATGGGCCAGCTAGATACCGCATTACTGGATGCCTCTAATCTTATTCTTGTAAGTCATTATGATTGACTTCTAAGACCACATTCCTTTTATTTAAGGGTGATATTACATTTTGATATGTTGTTTGGCTTATGTTCATTTGAGTGTTATCCCTTCTTCTGAAATTCGAAGCTTTCTGAGCCACATCATTAGCTTTATTATTCAAGAATCTTGGGACATAAGTCATATTTGCTATCTGAAATTGAGAAAACAAATGTAATGCAACAACATAGTATGGCAACATGCTTGCACTTTGACACTTGAAAATTCCTTTCACCTGGTTGACCACCAATTGAGAATCTCCAAATATATCAACTGCATGAGCTTGTAATCCAATAAGTATTTCCAGTCCCATTATTAAAGCTTCATATTCAGCTTGATTATTGGAACAAGTAATTTCATCCACTCTGAAACCATGTGTGGTTTCTACCCCTTGTGGTGACTTAATCACCACACTAATTCCAGTTAGACTGTTGGCTTATGATCTATCGAATCACATTTGCCATGGTTCAACACTAACCATACCAAGCTCCATTATCTCTTGGCTTTCTGTCTGACATGGATGATCTGCCAAGAAATTAGCTAAAACTTGTCCTTTTATTGCCTTTTGGGGGACATATTCTAGATAAATTTCTGATAAAACTAGTATCCATTTGCCAATTCTTCCTCTCAACATAGGTGTAGACAACATATATTTAACCAAATCTGTGGTTGCAATTACGAAGACAGTTATAGGCAAAAGATGGTATCTTAGTTTTATTGCAGCAAAATACAATGCAAGGCACAACTTTTCTACAGCTGAATATTTACATTCACAAGAATTTAGAAACCTACTAAGGTAATAAACTGCTTGCTTTTTGCCTTTTTCATTATCTTGGGCTAAGAAAACTCCCAGTAAATCTTTTACCGCAGCAATATACAACTTCAAGGGCTTATCACCCTTTGGTGGCATCAGCACTGGAGGCTTGGCCAAGTAGGCTTTGATTCATTCGAAAGCAGTTTGATGCTTTGCTGTCCACATAAACTCTTCTTTATCTTTCAACCTTAATAAGGAAGAAAATACTTTAGTTTTCCCTGCAGTATTAGAAATAAATCTTCGAAAAAAATTAACCTGTCCAAGGAATTTTTGTACTTCTTTCTTTCTTGATGGAGGTTTGGCTTCAATGATAGCTTTGGTTTTGCTCTGATCAATCTGTATTCCCTTCTTGTGTACTACATAGCCCAAGAAGTTTTCAGCTGATACGCCAAAAGCACATTTGAGAGGATTAAGTTTCAACTTGAACTTTCTCATTCTTTCAAAAGCTGCTTCCAAGTGAAACAAATGTTCCTCCATGGATTGGGACTTTACTACAATGTCATCAATGTAACACTCTAAATATCCTCCAATGAGATCATGAAAGATAATATTCATAACCCTTTGATATGTAGCCCCAGCATTCTTGAAGCCAAATGACATTTTAACCCATTCGAATGTGCCAATATTCCCAGGACATCTGAATGTTGTCTTGTGGATATCTTCTTCTACAATGCAGATTTGGTTATAACCAGAATGCCCATCCATCATTGATAAAATCTTGTGCCCTGTTAAACTATCCACCAATAAATCTATTATGGGCATAGGGTACTCATCTTTTGGAGTTGCTAAATTCAGGTTTCTGAAATCGATGCATACCCTCATTTTACCATTCTTTTTAACTACATGCACAATATTGGATAGTTATTCAACATACCTGGCTGTCCTAATAAAGCCTGCCTTAAGGAGCCTAAGAATTTCCTCCTTGACCTTCTGAATCACTTCAGGACTCTGTAGACGTGCCCGTGTGGGGCCTTCGTGCTACAGTTCGGACTCGATTTTTGTCACGGTTCTTAATCTGAACCAAAGAGTCCGAATCCGGCAAATCGTTTTGAGAAAAATAGATTTTTAGAAAAGAAGTGCCAAACATGGAGTGCTTTGCCAGATACCGAGTCGCCACCTAAATATTTTATTTTGAGAAATTTAAGAAACCCTGACTCGGTGCCAAAGGCCACGTGTCCGTCATCACCAAAGTTGCCTCAGCTCGAGAACTTGGGTACGATTGGGGAAGGTCAGCTATGAGCACCCCCTCTCGCCCGATCCAAAGATCGGCCTCTACTAACCATGATATCCGATTTTGAAAACGTTATGTGTTCTTATTCCATTTAATTAGCTAGAATTACTATGTGATGCGCACAACACAAAAATATAGACTAGATCGCCTAATTTGGAACGAAGCATTGCATATCCGTTTGTTTGAAAAACAGTTTGAAATTTGCTACTCGCAAGTAGGCTAAAGCACGGATTTCAACGAGTTGTTCCAACTCAAACAATCCAACCTTCACCCATAGGCATTCAAGCAGTTTATATCACATAAGCATCTAGCCACATGGTAAGCATGCTGTCATGTTGACATTCACACTCATGCGAGATGCTAAAGTAGAAAAATACTTACAATGTACTCCGAGCCAAGACAAGAACATGTTAGCAATCAATGCATGATCCAAGTCCATGTTAAGTGGCTAATGCAACGCATACAGAATGCAATCTAGAATAGGCTCGGCTAATCTAAACATGGCATATGATGATGCTACAACTAACACGTATTCAACTTGGAATTGAAATACAATGCAGTTAGTATGATGCGCCGAGCCCGGTGCATGCAAGACAAATGTATGGATGCACGCATACATGACAATTGTCTCTGCCTGTTGGGTTATGACCACAGCCTGTTGCTTGGCGAATTCTGCTTGACGGACAGCGTCTTGCTGCATGACTTTCATACTATCCTGGAGTTGGCGCACCATCTCTTCCAGACCCGACATACTGCCCTGATCTAACTGATTTATCGGTATATCTGTCTCTGTGGTAAAAACAGATATCTCAACCCAACCGCACACAGGTGAGATGGATAATGACTGCTGATCCGAAGACTGATGATCTGTGCCTGACTAGC